AAATGCTGACATTTAATATCCAGCATCACTTTTAGATCGTCGGAGTCTCTAAAATGGCGTCCCTAGTAATGATGGTCTCCAATCAGAGAGCTGTTATTATCATCTTAAGACATTACTTAAGACGGTCTTTAAATAAGAACGGACCATGAATACTGACCGAAGATTATGAAACTCGAATCTACATAGTGATCGATGGACAATCTTCTCAATTATTCGCGTCCAACAAAAAATTATTTTTTAGAACTTCTTTAAAAAAAATGCCACCCTTCTAAACTGTCGCTCCTAGACACAGCCTAAATTAAGCTATAATACTAATATGGCACTGTGAATATATAAATCTCCACAAATTGAAGTTTTATATCTAATAAATAAGCAATTATATCTAAATTAAAAGACAGTTTTACTGAAGAGTAATATTTATCTCTATAACAGTTTTAATATATTTAGTTAATCCTTTGACTTTTATTACCGCTGTTTTCAAGAAAATGTAACAAATTAATGGTGTTTCAGACTTATGGTCAAGGCTATATATCTATTTCATTTTAAGTACAAGTGTACACTAGTTCAGCTACAAAGAACAGATTTAATGACACATAAAATTAATATTAAAATGCATTATGATACAACAGAAATAAATTAACGGAAACTGACGTTAAAATAAGTTGATGAATAATCGAAATTCTACCGTATATCGAAATGAGCTGATTAGGATGTATGTCTCTGTCTCACATTGAATCGAATTTGTTTTATACACCTGTCTGCTTGTTAATTGAAAAAAAAAAGAATAAAAACAAAGTCTATAACATTGCTGCTTTTGCAGTCAATGCGCCAAATATCAAAAGGATGTGAGCTCGGGGGAAACGTAAATGACGCACCCTGGAGACAGACGCCACAATATCATCAAATGTACCAGGTTGCGTCAATCAAATGATTGCATATTTATCCATTTTTTCGCGGACGTAGGCGAACCGAAGCAAGCCTATCCGTAATTTATAGGAAAACTTAACGGGAGTCCTCGTTGTCGTTCATTTAATATGTATATATATGTTCATGGCCGTACACTCGTGGCAGTACCGTAACAGTACGATCGTGGTATTTTGTGTGGATATCGCACGCTTGGTTATCTGGGCATATTAGAAAAATCTTAATGTATTGAAAATCTGTAAATATTTATTGCGAAAAATATTACCTCAGCCGGAGATCGAATCCAGATCTTTCGTTTTCCAGGCGAGCATACTTTTTAATCGACATTAAAATCTTCTAAGATGCTATGAGCACCAAAATTATTAAATTGCTATAGCAATTAATTTGTGATATTAGTCCCGTCGTAATTGCATTTCAAGACTGACAAATCAATTCGGCACACAGTTTTTATGATTACGTAGGCAGTATATGTATAAATTCACATGGAATAATTTAAACATTTAAGATCCAATTTGACCGTTAAAGGCATTTCATTTCTATTCGTTGTGTAGTCACATTTATTTAAAATACTTTATTTAGTATTATAAAAAATACTTTTATTTCTAGTAAAAATTATATTAAGTTTACAAAATATGATAAAGGATTGAAAATATATTCCTTACAAAGAAGGAATATCGTTAGGTATGAATACATATCTGTGAGATAAACAGTGTTCGAATGATCTTGAACGTATATCACGTAGCGTATTTAAGTATTGCACACAATCAATTGAAGACTGAATATTAAATAAGAAATCGAAAAATCGCGAAATGGAATACGAAATATATGATTCACAGAATTCAACTACACGTTACGTCCGTTGCGAACAAATGATGAGATATTTATGGCGTTTTATCACATCAATTCCAAATCCCAGATCGTTACTCGCTTCGTGCGCAGACCTCACAATGATCAGAGGTATGTGCCACGAATCATGCGTGAGCCATGCACTAAGCACGAGACATTACTACGAGAAAAACTAACCGATTGCTTTATGAAATATTAATTAAATATTTATTTCATTCTGTTCTAGAAATTTATCGTTAGATCATACTTATAGTCAACAACACAGTCAGATTTTTTAATTTTAGAAAACAATTTATTTTTATTTATTACTATATTTTTAGATTGTTTATAAAATCGTTGCTTAAATGTAAGAAATGTATAAGTACAAAATAATATAGTGAATATAATAAGTGTATTTGCTTACAACTAAATATTTTTACTTCAATAGAATAAACAAATATTTCCATCAACGGATAGGATTAGAAAAAATGCATTTTTTTCATTTGAAAAAATGTTTCTCTAAGTATAGATAATATTTTTTCTAAGATTAAAATAAATATTTTCTAATCGGAACCAACGATTACTTTCGTTTAAGTAAATATATTTTGCACATCTTTACGGATA